ATGGGATAAAAATCATGAAGTTTTTTAATGTATGTGTATCAAGCATTGATTAAATGTATATTGAAAATAAAAATCCGATTTAGTTGAACAGTTTTAAATATTACATCATTTTGAAATGGAAAAATTAAATCTGTAAGTAAACTATTTTGAATTGCATTGATATATTTAGTGTTTCATACAATAAAATTGAAAATATTTAGTATTAATTACATTCATTTCATTTCCTCACTCCTTTTAAAGGTGCTCGTTTTAAGATATTTTATTTTAGTTAAACTGAAATAACTTTATATTATTGCTAAAGAGCACGATTTACATTTGCAGCAAGTTAGTTAACAACTAAACAGTAAATATAGTTTCCCACGCTGTAATACTTTGATCTGAATTCAAAATACAACGGTTTAAAATGAATTTATGAAAAGAAAAATAACAAGTACCACATTAGACTCCTTGAAATAATAAACCGTAATGGTGCTGGCTCACAAATCAAAACAACTTCGCCATCTCCGTTCTAAATATTCATCTTTAATTTAAGCGATGAGGTGATATTAAAATTTACTTCGCTTAATTGATTTTTTTTGTTGTTTTCGTCATAAATATTTAATCTTTAATTGGTTTCGATGATGCAAGCATTTAAATCCTTAGATTAAATTTATTATTATCTTACTTAGCTTTTGTTGAATAAAAACAAATAAAAAACAAATTTCTTTTTCAATTTCGATGGAACAGGAATAAATTAAAATATTTGAATTGAAAAAATACGTACACATTCAAATTTCTAATCATGAGCAGATAATGTTCAAAGTACTAGAATTAAAAAGCCAGGAAGTTTTTCATTAATACACCTAACATTTTAATTAACTCAAAAATGTTAATTTTTCCTTATTTGAAAGATAATTTATAGGATTATTTTGAAACATTTAAAAATCGATTCATTTTTGTGGCACTAACCAACTCTTATACATTAACATAAATTTAAATGCATGCGTGTAGGTGCAGCAGAAGTAAAATTAAAATGCATGGCGTTTTTGCCTTACCAAAATTTATTTTGAAATATTTTTAAAGCCATAACCATAAGACAAACAAAATGCATACGATAGCACCTTTACACCTCTTTATTCAAAAGCTATTTTTCCCGCATATTTTCGAGCCATTTTCATCCATCAATTCATCATCATCATCATCATTATCTAGGGACTCTAGAGAAATTCTCTATACCAGTACGAGGTAGAGTTCGATGAAAATCTAGAAGGACTAAAACCCATATCATGTCTTCTTTCGAAACTCCACTATGTGTTTCTTTTTCAACTTTTTGTTTCACCTCGAAGAGATTTTTTCTCAGTACCTTGTGTGCACGTGAGAATATATCTTCTTCTTTCTGTTCTGTTGTTTTTATACTTTCTCTTTGCGTTAAGTTTTTACTCACGAAGTTTCTTTAGTGATTTAAGAGTTCTTAGAAGACAGCTTCCCGAAGTTGCACTGAGTTTCTATAAACATTACTTTATACAGTGAAAAAAAATTATACTTGAGGTCCGCAGAGAGTTTCCCAACTTTTAAAGATGCTAATGTACTGTTTTCTATACTCGTAATTACATATCTGGTTGAAAGAAAGTATTTCATGGGTGCGTATAAAATGCAACATTAATTAAAGATAACTTTAAATCTAATATATGTCTAAAATGGCGGACAAACACCTAATTTTTATTTAATTGGAATTAAATTCGAATAAAATTTTGAATGTGACAAAAACATGCATTTAGGCTATATTTTATGGATAAAGTAGGATTAAGTTATAAACATAGGTTTAGTTAATTAAAGTTGAGCATAACCTATATCACACTTGGTAAAAGAGATTCCGCAATATTCAACTTAAACCGGCTATACTGAGTCAAACCATTCGTGGTAAATTAAAGCCCGAAATTAGTGTCAGCAATACACATGTTTACTTAGATAATGCCCATTTTCCTAAAAATAAACCAGTGTAAGGAATACCGAGCAAGGGAATAGCGGAAAGTGGCACTTGCATCTAAAAAAATATTAGTATAGTGAATAACGGGCAATTACCTTTAATTTATATAAATTCTAAAAAATTAGATATCATTGCACTGAATCCTAAATTCTTTTGAGACTCGTGAGCACTATGTTGGGAGAGGGATATCTAATCACCCCCTAATACAAATAAACAAAGCGTCTTCATGCACTTTACAAATCTAGTATTAAAAAAAAATCCTCTTTTGAATGGTTAAATATATGGTTAAATCTCTATTTTTCAGTAATACTTTATTTGAAAAATATTTATTTCGCAGAATAAAAAATCTAATTTATATAAACTCATTTGTATTAAATATACAATAAACACGAAATGTGAGACACATACTTGCTTCTATCTTGAATATATTATTTTGAAATTGATGATTATAAATCAGTTTAGATAACACATTTTATCAGGGTTTAGTACAATATAGTAGATGAAATACATTTGAGCTTGTGAAATGAGTATTACATTGAAAATTAAAACCTAGTCTTTCTTCTAAATTAGGAAAAGTACAGTGTGCAAAAAGACCTACCTGAATAACTTTTGATCTAATGATTGGATCTTCATGTTTTACGACTCATTCTTAATGGTTCGAGGTGATGACCTCAAATATTCTTATTAATTAGAGCAGAAGATATTTTAAGTTATGAAATCATACACAGAAAAGTATCTTCTCTGACTAAACATATATTTTTTTCAATGGATTTGATTTTCTGACCACTAAGATATAGGGGGTAACCACAATCTGAAAAATATGGTCCCCGTAGTTTGGTCAAGAGAGAGATCCAGAGTTTGGACCCCATAATGTTAATTTTACTTCTTGCGTATTGCACCATATCTCAAGAACTTTTTAAGCAAATAGAAAACTTTTTGCACACAATTATACAAAGCTTTTATCCAACGATAATTCCATACAAAAGATAAATTTTAGTAAATATTTATTATTTTTTATTATATTATTTAATGATAGTCGAAAAAATTCTGGATTGTAAGGTATATAATTTTTTGCATCATTTTAAAGAATTTTATTTTGCAAAACCAAAGTAACAAATTTTGGTGAAATTAATCAAATAATTCTGTAGAAGACAAAATTTAAAAACATCAAATATTTCAATTTTAATTTCTTCACAGCTTTTTCGACGGATTTTGCTCAAATTTTGTATTTTGTCATGCAATATTAGAATTCCTTAAAACGAGGCAAAAATTGTATACCTTACAATTCAAAATGCTTCTGGTATTGTTAAATAAAATTATAGAAAAATAATAAATAATTGCTAAAATTTGTTTTTTTGCATGAAATTATTTTTGGATAGACGATTTTATAATTTTTAGCAAAGTTTTTTTAGTTCCCTTAAGTTCTCAAGATTTGGTGGTATACGCAAGAAGTAAAATTATTATTAAGGGACCTAAACTTTAGACGCCCGGTGGCTGAGCGGTAGCGCTTCGCGCTGTCGTGCCACAGATCCCTGGTTCGATCCTCGGGCCGGGCAAGGTTGATCCAGCCTTTCATCCCTTCAGTTGGTCGATAAATGAGCACCAAGCATGCTTGGGAACTGATCACTGGGGGTTCGGCTGACCACCTGACCGGAGCATCTGCCCCTGTACCCCAGAGCTCAAGGTCAAGAAAACTGAGATGGGCACAGTAGGGCCTTCTTGGGCTGTCGCGCCGCTGAGTTTAGTTTAAACTTTGGATCGCTCTCTTAACCAAACTATATAGGGACCATATTTTGCAGATTATGGGTACCCCCTATTTTTGGGGTCAGAAATCCGGATTCATCTGAAAAAGTTATGTTTATTCAGAGAAAGTAAGGTTTTATGACTGATTTCGTAACTTATAATATTGTCTGCACTAAATAATTATCATATTTGAGGTCACCTCCTCACACCATTAAGAATGAGTCCTAAAACTTGAAGATCTAGTCATTAGTTAAAAAAAATAATCAGGGTGGTCAATTTTTTTGCGCAATTGTACCTCTAATTTTTATAAATGTGATGGTTCTTAACCGGTGCCATATTAGTTAAAATAAGATAAAGATAATGTGCGATAAGATGTACGATATGCAGAACAAATTTAAATCTTATCTTAAAATTCGAAACAAAATTTAAATTCTTAGCTCAAAGATATAATAGATTCAATCTTTAAGATTTTTTTCCGAAACTGATGTCTACATATGAGATTAAAAGGTTTAATTTTTGCATTTAAATATAATTAAATTTTGCTTTAAGTTGCAATTTACAATCTACGTTTTAATTAATCAATATTTTAACTAACTTATGTTTCCTTGTTTATATAACTAAACTATTGTCTACTTAAACGCATAAATGCTTTTAAATCCAGTAGATAATTAAAAAAAAATATTTCAATGTTAAAAAAATACTGTGTTTCGATACGATGCGTAATTTTTTAAATAACTTACTTTATCATATATACTAGAAATAAAATATCTCAGAAGAAAAAGAAAGATTTTCTTTTCTATATTGCTTCGCATGAATAACCTATACTTTCAGGAAAGTACGTTATGATAAACATGCGAGGAAATTATTCAATACAGAATTCTGTAGAATCAAATAATGATGCAAATAGAAAGGTGAATAAAATATAATATTATGATTTTGTCAAAAGCTTTACTCATAAACGTTTTTATTTTTAGTTTTTCTCAAGCAAAAAAAAAAAACTGAACAAAAATTTTGCTAATTTTCAGCTACATAACGGAATTTTTCTTAGATTTTCTGTAGACAGTCATGACCTGTCACGCCTGCAACCGCAACTGATCGCGGGTGGTCAGGAATAAAAGCTGAGTTTGTTAAAAGAACACTCCAAGGCTTGCCATCGCAAGCCCGAGTGGCAACATTTCTAGAAGTCTTTTGATACATGAGTGATGTCAGCAGTTTAATGGAATTGAGGCTTGCTTTAGTTTTGGGCTTTTGGAGAACCACAGCTTCTCTTTTGGCAAGCATATCTGCCATCTCATTTCCAGTGTGAGGGTACCCATTGAAAAGATATCTTGTGGAAAAGTTCTTTTATGATTTCCTGGCTCTGCTTGACTAACATGTTCTTACACTCTTGATAAGAGAAGATGGCCTGCATTGCTGAAGTTGAATCTGAAAGGATAACTACTTTCTTGAAAGAGTTCTGGATTAATGATAGTTGTTGAAGAGCCACCTGGATGACTTTCAGTTCTCCATCAAAATGCGTGGAGTAAGCTCCTACGGGTAAGTAGAAACTGAAAAGCTTGCTAAAAACTCCAGCTCCAGCCCCCTGGTCCCTAAAGGTCAGTATCCATTCCTCAGCCGGAAATCGCTGCTCAATTATTTCCAACGCAATGGCTTTCATTTGCTCTGGACTCATGAATTTCTTATCTACTTTTATATTCAGGTCCAACCGCGCATGAAAGAAGCTATAGTCCAAAGAGTTTGTCAAAAACAGCAGTGCCGGTAGTTTAAAGAAAATAAATAAGTAAAAAATAAAAACAATAAACCTTCAATTAAAACTATTATAATGGAAATTTAGTTTTGCTTGGGTCGTCAACTCAGCAAAATTCAAATAAAATACAAAGAGAAGATAATAAACTGCTTTATTTTTTACGTAATTCTCATATTTCATACTATCTTAAACACATTCTTCAAGAAGTACAATGTCTAGGTGAAGTAAACGATATCTCACAAATTTCCTACCTTGTCTAAGACCACCGGGTATTATGTACTATTCTGCTTTTTCTACATTATTGTGGTAATATATACAACAAAACAACATAATGAATGTAGGAAACAATGTAGGAAAAAAATATCATTTTAGTGTAAAAACTGTTTTACTGAATCTTAATTTTAATCGATTTAGTTAATCGATTTAAAACCCTTACTTCTAAATTGTTTAAATAATGCTGCTGAATCATCTTTTAAAAAATTAATCGAAATCTAAAACAAAGAAACGATGGAGATTTAAAGAATGAAATCTTCACCATTTCTCTTCGAAACTCGATTAATTCAATAATGAATTCGTTTTCCAAAATCCCCCGTCATGTTTTAATGATTTTTACCCGTCTTAACAATATATTATTTAAATTCCACCGCTTCTCATTGAGAGTGTATAATGAGCGAGGAATTCCATTTGAGCTTCCTCGGCCGCCAATCCCCCAGATGATTTTCAGGTCTTAACTTTTAATCGCGGTGCATATTTTATGGTGGAGATTTTCGTTAATTCTAACGAAATAGAAGATAAATTCAAATTAATGAAACTCATTTTTGAAGGTAAAATAAATAATTTTAAATTATATTGCTATATCGGTTTGTTACCCTTCGATGTTAGATGAAGTTTAATTTATACAAATTTGTAGGTTCAAGCATTTATGAATTATTGACCAGGGCAATGGCAATCTTTGATTTAATTCCTTGACTTTAACACATTAACGTAAACTTAATTACATTTTTTAATCATTAAGTTTCATTATAATTTGCAATTTAGCTTGTTACCAAAATAACAAAAGATGGAAAAATGAACCACTACTTCCCTTACGAAGTGCTGAATAGTCACGAAGTTGCGATATAAGGACACCACCAAACAAAAAACTAATTTAAAATATTTCACTCTAGTACGTGTTGTTTTTGAAAGGATGTTACAAAATACTGTTTATATTTAGTGAACAGTAATTATCATTCAGTTAATTATAAATATTGAGTTACAGAATGGCTGCAAGAAAGGGCTGTATTTTATATTTTATAATCGTCGTTGAAAGCCAACCTAAATTTTTTGAGCTTACGACTAGTAATGTCCAACACCGTGGCCTAGTAATTTTGAAATTAATGCAGAAGATAAAGGAACTCCTTTATCATGTATTGGATGAAATGTGTCTTCATGGAAGACAAATTGATGAAACGTTACATGGAGAGGAAAACTACGAAAACCACCCACGGTTAGCCTAACTTCAAGGAAACTCCAACCCATGATTCGTCTACCACTGATGATATTTTACGTCAGCACTGTGCTTAGTGCAAGCCAGGCGTGGAATTCAAATCTACCAGCCATCTCTGGGGTTTGAACTCGGTTCAACTCTTTGGAAAGCAAACGCTCTATCCCCTGAGCAATCAATCATTGATAAATGGTTATAAAAAGTAGGGGTCAGTGCTAGGAACAGAAAGAATAAGTAAAACTATTATTCAACAATCATTTATAAGAAACCCTCACTGATTTGTGCTCTTTTTCGCAAAAATTGTTACTAAATATGGTGGCTTCTAATCTTCCTAATCCTTAACAAGAATTTGTTACTTATTACCTCATTGCTAGGAAACGCAGGAATAATTTCCTCAACTATACGCCAATCATTTAAAAAATTCACACAATAGCTTGTGCCACAGTTGCAAAGTTTGCTTCCAGGTATGGTGTTTTTATCTTCGTGATACTTATTAAAAAGTGTTGCTCCCTCTCGAAGTAAGTGCCGGCAATAGTCGGTATTAGTGCTACTACTGTACAGTAATCATTTAAAAAAATCACGCACTCTTATTTAAAATTTATAAAATTATTTAAAATAAATTTATTCATTACCATAAGATTTCCAATTTTGTCGCTACCTTGTAAACTAGAGTGAGGCTGCACAAAAGAGTATAATTTTGAGACAACTTTTTCTCTAGCAATCTACAACAGTTGTGTCCTGTTTCAGGTCTTCTTTTTAATCTTACTGCCATCATAAAAATTAGTGTATTATTGCAAACATTCATTCGTAAGAAAATAGCTTCTATTTTACGCATATTATAATGGTTGGTTTACGGTAGCATCAATTGTTATTAATAAGAGTTTAAATTATTAAATCCCATATCCATAGTTTAAATTATTAAATCTCAAATAATAAATAACAAATTTTATCAGTTTAAACTTTAATCAGTTATTTTAAACTTGTTTAAATTAACCACACTGATAAGTTTCGATTATCTTTGACCATAAATTATCTTATGATAAGTATTTTGCCTAGAAATGTCAAACAATTGTCGATCAACAACAAAACCTTTATTAGCAGCGATGAAAAATTTATTTTCTGAGAAAAAAAAAACTCCAATTGTTCTGATTGCGCCTTTGAGAAAAAATTTTATTACCGGTTTCTAAGCAACGAAGTAATACATCACTACCTTGTTATTATTCAAGGTATGCTTATCATATTGATCATGTGTCGGCATACTTTTTAAAGTATTGCTATAAACATTTATCTTTCTAGCACCTTTATTATTAACCTAACATATTCAATGATTTAAATAATAACCTGTATTAATGACTTAATATATTCAATAATTAATTAATAGCTTATATTTATGATTTTATATATTCAATAATTTATTTTACATACTCTAACAATGGCCTAATTTTTCTATAATTTAACTAACAACCTCTTTTAATGACCAAATACATTCCATATTAAATAAAAAATTTCCCCCCACTTATTTTGCAAATGTTTAAATATATTAAATTATTAGTACATAAAAATTTTCGTTTATGCACAGAAAGACCGCTCTTGTGTCTATAAGCTTAATAAAGAGTACTAGATAATTATCCTATTTAGGGTCATCTTTAAAAAAGTTTAATATTGGCCTTTAATATGTTTATATATATATATATATATATACGTCAAACCCCGCTATAGTGAACTCCCGGATATAGTGAACGAAATATTCGGCCCCGTGCCCTGCTATATTCGTATAATGTTATTTTTTGTGGATATAGTGAACCAAAAAAGTGAGTTGGATATAATGAAATTTTTCCATCTCTAACTGATTTTTTTCTTCATTTTTTTGTGATAATTTTAAAATTTTTACTTTAAAATAAATACATATGCCGATTTTTAAAACCATCTATGGAGGGGAATTTAGAGATAAGCTTCTTTTATTTCACTTTCCCATTCCTAAGCAAACCAAGCAGATATTTCCAATCCAGGCAGATAATGCACCTGTAAGGTGTCAGTGGCATCAATATGCATTTTCTGTCAGAGGGAATGAGTAAATTATTCATTATTGGTCAAAGGGTTAGACACTAATATGTGTTGATAAGGCCCTCATTTCAACTCCTTTTTGCTCTCAGTTAGGTTAAAAAAAAGCCTGCAAACAAGTGTCTAAAATTTAACTATGACGAGAAGTAAACGTAAAACGTTCCCCTTTGATGATAAAATGGGCATAATCAGAAAAATTGAAAATGAATGCAATCAAGCTGATATTTGCAGGGAATATAAACTATGCAAATCTGCAGTTTGTAGCACATGGAAAAATAGGCAATTAATTATTTCTGCTCATAAAAAAAATTTAGATGGCTGAAAAATTTTTTGAAAAGCAGATCACAAGGATGTTGAAGAAGCATTACTGAAGGGCTTCAGCATTCAAAGAAGCCGCAATCTTTCAGTATCTGGACAAACGTCAATGAATTTGCTAAGCGATTTTATGAGACCAATTTTATGTGCTCGAATGGCAGGGGAAACAGGTTTAAAAAGCGGAATAACAGAAATCCATTAAAAATTATCTGAGAGTCAGGAAGTGTTTCCATATCTGATGTTGAGGATTGCTCATCAGCTAAAGATTTGTAAGCAAGATGAAGAGTAATGAAAAATAACACATTTTTCACTACTACATAATATTTTTCAGTCATTTATTTAAATAATGTGTAATAAGAGGAAGGAGTTTGGGAACCATTAGTTAAATTGCCTGCGTAACGGATATAGTGATATCCCGGTTATAGTGAACCAAAATTTCCATCTCTTGAAGGTTCACTATAGCGGGGTTTGACTGTATATATAAATCAGTACATTAAAGTAAGAATTACTTAGAATGATAACTTTCTCATCCATTTGTTGTGTTGCTTATCTTATAATCCATGCAGGATGATTTATAAAAATGATAAGATTTAATAGTTATCGGAATTCCGTTCCAATTTACAATAAATGAGCATGATTGGGATAAAATTACAGCATTCATTCAAAAAATTGGAAATTTGAATAATGGCAACCTAATTGTTAAACGTTCATTGGTCCATATGTATTATATAAATACCCTAGATTGAAATAATGGAATTAGGATCCATAATAAAATTGGGGAAATCAAATATCTCGACGAAAGAAATTACAGTCCAAACTAACTGCTTGATCATCATATGGAAAGTTAACTTCTTTTCTGAAGATCTTCTCACTGAATTATTTTCAACGCATAATTTGTGTGTTGATAAATACTCATTTTAACTGTGTTATTATGATTTAAATCATGATTTTAAAAAGCAAATTATTTGCGAGATAAAAAAAGAAAAAAAACTGAGCATTATTCAATCAATATTAAATCAAATCCCTCTACCTCTAAAATAAATGATAGTTTATTTTTTATGTTAAT